GAATTTTATTTTACTTGATATTTTAAAAGTGCCTTACAGGCATCACGGGAGCATTGATTGAGCGGGGATCACAAAACAGCATAAAAAATCCACTAAGCGAATCAGTTATTAATTACACTTGAGTGCTCTTATTTCGCTTTAAGTTGGCGCAAACCCAATTGGATGGTCTTTCTGGCATTTGTTGTGATTTTAAACAAAATCAAGGGGAAGTTCTGACATCAGAAATAGGGAAGCGATGACTTCAGCTTGCTGAAGGAAGAAGATGTCATGTCCAACATGCACCAGAATGAATAATGCGCATCGCTACGTTGTTTGGGTTGACATAGCCTAACACGAACAACCGAATAATACCCCTCTCAGTACTTTCGTAATATTGTCGCATTTGTGATTCCACAAAAAGTTCAGTGACAAACGTTACTCGCATGTGAATGAATAAAATAGGAAATCAGCTTTGTGTGCTTTTATCTGTTACTTCTCTAAATATGGATATTGATTTCGTCTTGTGATTTAATGAAGGAAGGTTAATATTAAGGGCTAGTAGCCGTCAGCTCAGGATAAAGCTATCTCTGAATTAGGTTGATCTAAACGCAAATTTCTGTAAATATTTTTGGTTAATTACCGGAAATGATCATGCAGTTTTTATAACAGTGTCATCGATAGGCATATCATTGCAGAAAATAAGGTGGTGTGGGAGACACGGCGGTAATACTTCTTCCCTCAAGCGGTGAAAGCTGCCGCGGTACATTTCTCTGTGTCTACATCGCATTCAGTGAAAAAAACCTAATCGATGTGAGAATTTCGGCACAGTCCAGGACAACGCTATCCTCGTAAGGAAATATTTTATAACACCACAATTTTCATCAAAAGCAAGAAGTTATGCCAAGTTATGCAAGTTAATCCTCCTTCAGGTCAGTAAATAGCGAAGAAAAAACAAAATAACAAATATTCACAATGATTCATATGGCAATATATGTGTTAAGTACCTTGACCATAATGAATACACGCGCTTAGCGCATCTGAAAGACATGCGAGCTTACAAACCATGTCCGACAGCTGCGGTTTTGATAGAGCCCTAATTTTGTTTTCATTATCTGAAGAAAAAAAACAGTTACGGAGGCACCGGCTGGCACAGCCAGCAGCTGCAAGTACAGTTGTACAAAATTAACGAAGCAAATATTAAACTATAGAAGGCAAATGACCAAGTGAACTACTGAATCACGCTTTCTTTCAACACAGATGAGACAGCTGGGCGAACGAAGAAAAATACTTTGCATATCCCTAAAATTATTTGGGCGCTGTAAGGCAAGAGGAATCCACATCAGCTTACCTGGTCGCAAAGCTTTGCAAAGAACTAAGTGAACACTTTACCTTCCTTTAGTTTCAATGATGGCCATGCTAACAACAATTATTTGTTTTGTCTATAAGTTTCTCTCAAAGCATGTTGAATCGAATGTAGTGTTGCTTGTTACCTGCACTAACAGAGAGCGCAAGGAGAGCAATGCTCATAATCTTTCATGGGTTGACAAGCCAGCAGATGCATTAGGCCGAGAACTGGTTGAAGCTATGGATGCGGAGATTCTGTGCATGACGAGTGAAGAAAACACATTTATCAGGCCCCGAAATTCTTGCAGTATTGTTCATCTTGTAAAACACTCAGCGGTTTTCATAGTGTCGTCGATCACAGCTTTAGATCGAGTAAGTAGTGATTATTTCTCTATATTGATGAATCTTGATGCATATAAAAAAAGAGAGCGCAAGTATTCTTCTGTGACACGGTGGAACATATACCGAGAAGTCCTTGAGGAGCCTACCGGATATATATTTTCTGAAATGCTGCGCCGCGAGAAAGCAGCTGTGAAATTATTAAAACTGCTGGAGCATTTTCCTGCTCCTGACATAACGCTACAAAATCATTGTCCTACCTATAGGAGAGCACAGCGTACATTACTGACACAAGGAGGTTAACCAGAGCTGAGAACAGCCCTGACTAGAATCAATGCTGTGATTCGTAGGCATAATAAAGATTTGAGACGATAACAAACAGCTGCATTATGCACGAGCTTGTCAGTGTTTACCGCAGCGACTGCATTGAGAGCAATTATTGGGACGCTTGCTGGAAAGACTACCCCCAAAGAACTTTTGACGCTAGTGCCGTGAAGCTAAAGAAAATTCTTCCAGTGTTTATGGAAGAATTCGCGGATGCCTTTTCGTTCCGCAGCTCATCCGATACCTGGGTTTCCATGCCATCTCTCTCCTCTTCTCTGACGGATGCCCCCTTTAGTTTTTGGAGAATTTCAGTTTGTGCTTAGCAGCTTGTGGAGACATTATGCAGTATGTTCCGATCTCATCAGTAACTGGATGCTCGCTAACATGCCGCTACCACGGAAAGAAGAACCTCTAGACATAATCGATGCAGTATGAAACACAGGAAACATACCAGAGATATGGAAAGTTGCTGCTTGGGTAGGGCTCATTTTAAATTACAGAGAAGATGCTAACGAATTTCTTTGTATTTACTAATGTATTGTTTTCTGTTTCCATCGTACTTGCCCCCCCCCCCACTTTTACTCAATGTCACACTAGGCTCCGGAAGTTATTATGAATAAATAAATTATTGTCCTCCTAGGTGATTTCTCTAGTATCCTACATAACAAATAAGGTTTATAGAAAAACTCGTTCATACCCATTGAAATCAGTATTTCGAGCAGAAATTTAAGCTTTTTACATGCACTACTGGTTTTGGACGACTAATGTGCGCTCAGGGTGGTAAAATAAACCTCCTAAGCCATATCGAACATCAAAGAGGAGACGACCTCTCAACATTCGCTGCATTTGTGGACATCGGCAAGACATATACCTGCGTTTCACGAGGGTTTTTTATCGCACCACTGCGACTCAAGGGAATCACGGGAAATACGCAGCGTTTGATTACACACCTTTATATACTGCGGACGTTTTCGTGCACATCTCGGACACACTCTTTACGAGAGGAGGAGCATTTCTCGCAGTGTACCCTAGGGTTTTGTCGTCTCTCTTCTGTTATTGAATGTTGTTTTGGCAGGTTTTAGAAGTGCAGTTTGGTGTTTGTGTGTGCAACTCCGAATGCCAATCTATGATGACGAATTCTGAACCTAGGTCTTGGGATACAGCCACAAACTGCTAGAACGAATAGGTCGAGGAGCAACATTATTTGCTCAGAACTCCCAGCTAATACTCTGTATGCAAGGGCTGCAAGGAAATCATCTTTTGATTTCTTCCCTGGGTGACAACAGAACACCACGCGGTGACAGTTAAACTTGGAAAGTCAGCCGATGCGACAGGCTACAAGCGCCCTTTTCCTGTGGGTGATTATGGATAACAGACTCTCATGGAGGAAACATGGGGACCACCTCTCAGAAGCATTATTACTGCAACTTCAGGTCCTCAAGTGAGTAAGTGGTTTGTTCTGGGTAATGGTCCCAAAATATATGGTCGTAATGCATAGTGGCCTGTTAACCAGCTGAGTATTTCACCAGCTACGACTTATGCGTCTATCTGAAATCCAGTATAATTGATAGGAGTGTTGCAATTGAAAGGGCACCTGTTTGTCTGTATAAGTTTCCAAGGCAGCGTCAAAGAAAAAAACTAGTAAATGAGGGCCAGTCTCTACCATTACATCTTCTGGCATCCCAAGCTCTTCTGACCTAACTCCTAAAACTGATCAAAAGACACAGAACGAGGTTCTTATCTCATTTCTATGCAGTGCTAAATATCTACAATATCCTGGATGTTAAAAACACCAAAAGAACGCCTAAAATGGGCCCTTGTAAAGTTCAAGATGGATTTGCGGCTTTAGTATATTAGGAGTTCGTTGCGAGCAAATAACAGCTTCAACAAAAGCACGCTTCCAGGTACTCGGCCATTTGGAACGAAGTATTCAGTCTTCATGGATAAATAGACTCTTCTGTGACAATCGGTAATAACGCCTTTGCTGCGGTATATTGTATGTTATCTATTGGAGGTGCATGATCTGGCTGTTTGGATCGACTTGTCTCATCAATAGTTGCAGAGAGGGCAGCTATTGCTGCTGCTCATCGCCTACTGAAGAATGGACCCACCCAGAGCTGAACACCTTTCTGACTGTGAATGGGCAATGTAACAACGTTGTCGAGGAAGTCCCAGAAATGTCTTGCCACCGCTTATCGCATCACTGATGCGATGAGGTATGTTGATGCCTCCAGAAAGAGGCATCAACATACCTTTTCAGTGAATACCTTCCCTTGTTGGTGTCATCAGTGACAAAAAAGCACAAGCCGTAGCCAAAAAAGCACATACAAGACAACCGAAAACCTGATCTCTTATGAACCAACTAGCAAAACAGGTTATTCAATTCCATTTTTCCTTTCTTAGTAATTCGACCCATCAGCCAAGTGTCACAAACGGCTTTAGTCAGGCCGAGTAAACTCTACTATGCACAAAAAGAATCTGATCTGCATACACTCCTGAATGGTTGTTTATAGCGAGGAGTGCTTCCTCCCCACTGTGCACTGAATGCAATGAAATCATGGATATTCATTACCAGCTATGGCCGTGCAAGCGTTTTCGCTGTGAAAGAAAGACATTACTGGACAGAGTGAAAAAAAGAGGGTTACACCACGGATGCTCTGAAGACACTGAGTTTCCCGCTGGTGTGCGCTTGACGCAAGCGCATTTAACTAACATATTCTTCCCTTTTCTGCGAGACAGGATAACGCGATGTATGGTGAGCCTAACTACATTTAAAGAGTCGCTGAGGCACAGCAATCATCGTCCAGGTTTGTAAGGCTAACCCTGCCTGTGGCAACATCCCCACCACCAGCACTTACAACGTGAAAGAAAAAAACCCAGGCCGCAGGAAAAAAATTGGAAAGTGACAATGAAATGAACATGCTTTGAATAGTTGAAAAAATTGCTTGGTGTCAACAATGGTTATAAAATCTCATTTACAATTTTGCATTTGTTTCCTTTATAGATGACGGAAGGCGTATTCAAGCTCCTGTACAAGAGTGTGATCCTAAAGATTTCAGTAAGCATGTTTCTTGTTCAGCTTGCTATATATAAGCGTATATGGAAATGCGGATTGGCATGATTGATTTACTATGACTGTGCTAAACATGCGTTATCAAACGAAGCAATCACTCAAGTAAAACTGTTAAGAATGATCTATGTAATGTCTTGCCAGTATGGAGGTAATTAGCAAGTATCCTTCGTAGGAGCTAGTGTTGCCGCCTAGCACAAGTTGTGAATATGATACACACATGGCATGCGCCATCTTATTATATACTGCATGCACAGGAAGTCAAATGGTGTTCTAGCGGGCGTTTACACATCCTTCTGATTTGTCTGCAACAAGTTACATGCCATTTCGCCCATTGCGTTTTGTATATAATACTGCTGTAGAACCTTGTACATATTTTCTTGCTACGGTTGCAAAATCGAATAACGCACATATTACTTTGTTCTAGCCATCACCAAGGCCGTCACTATTAGTTTTCTTGTAAAATATTGGTTGTGAGGACATCGTACTACAAGTCGTGTATGTTCTATATAGGAGTAAAAGCGTGCCAAGACAACCAATAATTTTTGAGTAGAAACCTAAGGTTCATTTCTCGCCACGCAAAATAGCCTCGCGAAGTCATGGAGATATAGCTGTCTGGCTCCATCAGAAGCTGCATATATTCCTGCGTTCCACATGGGAAAGAAAGTGGTCCTTCAAGAAAATAAAACAATCCTATGTTCTAGAATCAGTTTGGAATAACGGCTTAGGTGAAGGTGAGATATAGGATGAATAAAGAAGGAGAAACCTGGAGGTTATTTAGGCTGATAGTTAGGCTGATAGTGGCCTCGGAAGTGAAGGCCCTTGGCGTCAACCTGATTCTGAGAAAGCTGTTTCGGAATGGAAGGCCGTTGACAAGAGTGCATCTTCAATAATACACCTCAGGTGGAGAGGTGACATTGAAGCTGGTGGACTTAGTAAGACAAATGTGTAGTATAAAATTTCGGAACTTAGCCCCCACGAAATACAACAACTCGATTGAGCTACAGAACGAAGGGCCATGGTGGAACTCCACAAGCAGCTTCTCTTGTCTAACTATCTGAAGGGCAAAGGTAAGGTCGGCCCCGCAGCTGCATCCAGGATCGTTGCATTGGGTTTGCTACCCTGCAAAAGGGGAGTGACAACGGGGAGGAAATATGAAGAGCTATGCAACCTTCTTTTCTTCAGTTCTGTAAAGGTTTCCCACCCGATCTTTCATTCAAAGCACGGTTCTGGTACCACAAGTGAACCGTGATGTAGTGTAGCCACGGCCACGTGTTTCTGGCTGAGCGCGAAGTTTGCTAGTTCAAGAGAGGTTGCTAAGAACCTCTGTTAACTATACAATAGCCCCGAGAAACCTTATGTTATCCCCTAAAGGATTATTCTTCGTTGATGTAACTTGAAGGTTATGCATCCCTTCATGAAATTACAAAGAAAGTCGTAAACGTCCCCTGTATACGTGCGAAAAAACAAGTCTATTACCTTCTTTTATTTTTACGGTTTTTAGTTCTGTAGTAGCTCATTTTGCGTGCGTATTCATAAATACCATGCTTTCCGCAAATGAGCACTGAATTCAAAGTTAGCGCAAGTATCCCTTGCCTTCAACTTAAACGGCGTGAAGCGCTCCTCTAAAATTTATTAGTATAACTAGATAAAAAGTCGTATTTTTCGAGCACGTATCGCTTTGCTTTAACCTGGCGCCTAGCGTATAATATACATGGTTTGCACGTGACGTCACTTTCTGCTAGAAAAGTGACCGTCCGCCATGTTTGTCAACAGTGAGCCAGGCTGGTCAGGCTGCGCGTGCAGCTTACCGCTGGTTTGTAGCTTGTCGGCGTCATTCATGCGATATGGCGAAAGGAAACTTGCCCGCGCTTTGCCCATCGTACTTCGAAGAGCCTGTGGGGCGGACTTGTGTGCGTTATCGAGCAAAAATATTCACCTGTATGAACTGCGCACCGGTAAGGTTGCTACGCCAATATGCTGCCGCCATCGTCGACTTTTGGTGTTTTAACAAGTCACGTCAAACAAATGAAGGTCTGCAAGTCGCTGCCTGGTCACAACTACTTCTCCATGCAGCGGATGGGGGAAGAGCATAGCAGCAAAGCAGCTTCCATCACAGCGTGTCGTCGTCTAATTGAATGTAGTTACGAGGCTCTTTCCGGGTTGAAGCAAAGCATGTGATTCGACGAGATTTTGTAGTTAGGAGTGCGATACCGTGTTCCATTGTGGTGGGAGAAATTTTGGTGTTGTTTGGGAGGCACTAACGCCCTTTTTGCATGCTCCTACCTAACTCAATGCTCAGAAGTCACCGCATTTGTGCTGGTTTCAGTAGCGTTGCAATGCTTGGTTTAGTTTTCTCTCGTGAGCTTCGGTTTTGTAGAATCTACCGTTGATGGTTCATCACTCTCTGGTTCTGCATCTACGACAGGCAGTTGGGCCAAAGTCCCTATTCTGTGGACGGCGTGCCTGCTGCGATTGCATACAGCACGTTTGTTGGTCACTTTCTGAGTGGTGAAACTGCACTGATGCTGCGGCAGTAGTCCGGTCATAACGGCTGTAGCCCAGCAACTAGTAGGCTCGGTGCTCAGTGGTGGTTCGCATCAGTCATAATTTCGTGGTTTAAAAGAACCCATATTCACATATGTTGCACTGTTAACCTCTTTTAACAACTAGAGACACGGCTATTCAAGGGGAAATTGTCGGCTGTTCATCATTGTGTATCTAGGTAGCATTTCGGAGAAGGCGATGCGATCACGTAAGTAAACGTGGCAAACTTGGACATGACTCGAAAATACCCCTATCTGTGATGAAGTGATGGCTATACTCACGGATAGGGTTTTCACGTCTCGAAACCATTATATGATTACAAAAACTGCCGTATTAGAGGGCTCCAGAAAATTGGACTATCGGGGGTTCTATGCTTGGACCTGACTCCCGGGTCCAAGCATTTTCGCCTCCACCGAAAGTGTCACCGGGATTCGATTCCGCGGCCTGTGGGATAGCAGCCGAGTGCCTTAGCCACTAGACCACCGTGGCGGGTATTATTCTGCATCCAAAAACGGCACAAATAGTCACGGTGACGCCAGTAGTGCGACCGGAGACTAGGCTTCACCACTGCGAAGCTCCCGACTACGCTTCCAGGCAGCTGCTTATGTTGACAAATATGGCGGTTCTCGGTCATCTCGTTCCGGGATGTGACGTACGTGCAACCCATGTATTGACGCTTCTCCGCAGCGGCGAACGGGCGCTGGCACGCTTGAATCTTCTCCTTTATACTTCACTGTCGCCGAGGGCCGGCCGGTTCACCACCACCATTCCCGAGATGAAGGCCAGCAAAGCGACCTCAGCGCATAGTCCGTGCCACCTGTCTCCGTTTTTTTTTTCTATTAGGCACTTCGCCGTGTCGCCTTATCACTGACAGAAATTTGGTGCCGTTTTTCTTACTAAAGAACCCCTACCACCGCTATTCCTCTACGCAGGCTGCAGAGCAACGTAGCGACGACCGCCACATGCCACATCGGGGCCGCGCCGCCAAGGAAAGGTTCGTGGCGCCTCGATGCGGAGGGGGCATTTAGTTTTGCATAGACAAACTAGCTGCTGAAAATGACCTGTACCATGCTTGAGCGGCCTCATGTAATGATACTTGGTAGCGTAATTTAAAAAATGAAGTAGCTACTCGTGGATGAAGGTATCCTAATGCCACATTCCCTCCTAAAAGTTTGTTATTGCCCCATATTACTGTCAGTGATTTTTGGTTCACCATGCCTGCAGTGTTCGAGAAGTTTCAAGATTGCAGTATATCACTTTGTTAGGATTACACCCGCTTCCCAAGCATTGCCGACTATTCTGGAACCTACGTCACCACTAACGATAACGCTAGAATATTCGATGGCACGTGCATTAATGCCGACGGCTTCATCACATGTCAGTTGATCATCGACCGACGTTTTGTTCATCGCTATCAGTGAACGTGTATTGCTGTAATCTGTCCTTCAGTTTCCTGGCCACATGTTCGGCCGAATAAAGAGTTTCACGGAACATCGAGTTCGTCCACTTCACGACCCGTGACACTATCGTTTAGGTGAAACCTTATGTCCCTCGTCCAATGGGTGGGAACACGGGGTACCCCACAGGGAGCAGTGTTATCACCGCTCCTTTCAACATTGCTATGATGCGCCTTGCAAGCGAATGGGCCAGGGTGGAAGGCACACAACACGCAGTATATGCCGATGATATTACAATCTGGACCACTGAAGGGAGCCTTGGTGAAATGCAGGAACGCCTTCAGCAGGCCGCATCATAGTCGAGGCGTGTGCCAACGATTGTGGACTCCAATGTGCTCCAAACAAATCAGAGCTTCTGCCCGTTAGAGCGAAGCCAAGAGATAAGTCAGCCATACACATCCTGTCTGGGGTTCTCCTCAGACAGGATGTGTATCTGTCTGGGGTTCTCATCAGAGAAGTGGAGGAGCTCCGGATTCTGGGCCTGTTCATTCACCACAGACTCAGACCGGACTCCACTATAGCGACAACTCAATAGAAAAGGCGAACAGGTAGGGTGCATGATCCACCGCGTTTCCACACAGCGGGGTGGTCTGCGGGGCAGGAACGCGCTTCGGCTCGCTCATGCCTTCGTGACTAGCCGGATCCTCTACGCGTCCCATAACTTCGCACTAACAAGCAAGAAGACGAAAGAATAGATGCCATCATTCGTAAGGCTACTGAACGAGCTCTGGATCTCCCGGTGGCCACTTCCAACGCCCAAACTGAGAGGCGTTAGGTGTGCTCAACTCCTACCAGGAGTTGCGGGAGGCCCACCTTATGAATCAATACGCGGCTCGTGCAGACGGCTCCCGGGCGCCGCCTGCTGAACCAGTACATATACAGCACACTTGCAACTGCAGAGGAGGCGGAGCGTATTCCGGAACTGTGGGGCATATGCTCTCAGGTCTCTCCACTCCCAGTAACATGGATAAGCACACGCACGAAAGCAGAAGACAGGCGCGGGCTTGGACGCTTGAGAGGCAACACGGCTCCCGACCTGGTGTATTATACGTAGATATAGCAGGGCCTTCGCCCACGGGATTTTACACGGCCTGTGTAGTTCACCGGGAAAGCATGTCAATGGGCTCTCGTTCCGAGCACAAAATCCAGAGCGCGCTGAGCAAGTCGCGATGAGCGCTTGCTGCTGCGGAACCCAACTCGAAAGTATTCATCACGGACTCCCGGAAAGCATGTGCTCATTACTTGGTAGGAGAGACATCCCCCTAGCCAGCCAAATTCTAAACGGGCTCTCGCTGATCCAGCCCCCGAAACGCATCGTATGGGCTCCTGGCCATCAGGGCTACGAGGTAATGAGGCCGCTGGACGCGGCCGCCAGAGAGCTTACCACCGGGCTCCTCACCTTGGCTCTTATTGACTCGGAGGCCACATACACACGCTGCTGCGGTTTAAAGCAAATTCTGACTATTATCGCGACACTAACCGCCTTTACCGGCTCCTGCAAGGGGCTGAGTATGGCGGAAGAGCGAACTCTAAGGCAGCTGCAGACAGGTACTCTACTCTGTCCCTGCAATCCTAAAACCATTCGATGCGAACACAGATGGCGGTGCCCACACTGTGGGGAGACGTGTGATATCTTCCACATGGTATGGGAATGTCCAAAAATCCCCACCTACCCCCTTCCCCTACCCCTTCCCGAGAGGAATGGGAGACTGCCCTCCTCAACTGCTCATCACTAGAGTCTCAACGGGCTCTGGTGAGACGGGCGCGAGTAGGGGCCTCGTCATGTGGTGTCCCGGACTAAGGCCACCGACCATGTAGCGGGGTCATGCTTTGGCCCCGTACCTCTCCCTTTTATAATAAATGTTTTTCAGCATCATCAACGTCCAATGGAAAAACGACGATCTGCATCGGTGTTGTCAAGACGAGTGGTGTAGAAACTAACCACAATAGGAAGTGATCACACTTGATTAAGTGAGAAGATAAAAAATGCCGAACAATTTTTCTTTGACTCGTCTTCAGCCATGCATAATTAACACCGAATTTGGAACACATGTGCGTTAGTTGGTAGGAACCATAAAGAATGTTTCATATCACCAACGATATTTTTAAGCAAGCGCAGGACGTGACTTTAAGTAGGTGTCGCTTGTTTGGCTTGTCGTGTCTTCCACGTAGCGCTAATTATTTCTCAGAGTTTTTATGGGCCAGCCTATTGCAATAAGTCAATACTTGCGACAATCACGAGACATACATACCTTGTAAGAACACGAAAGCCGATAAAAGTGAGAGATGTATGGCGACAATATGCATTTCTGAAAAAAAATTACAATGCACATTCCTAAGTGAGGTGGCTAACAACAATTAAAAATGACTAATAACAAACGAATTGATTCATATGTAAACCTTTGGCAGTTGATTTTTAGATGTAGGCTCTTCACAAATACTGAAACAGAAACATAATTAAAATTTCTATTTCAGGCAGCCGACCAGTTAACCCTAATTTAACTGATGAATTTGTCGTGGAGGTATGCATGGTGACAAGCGTCTCATATTACACTACATTTAACTCAACCAAAGACTTAGTTCAATACGCAGCAACGATGCTTAATGCGGTGAGTAGCACTTTTGCTATTTCTGCGCCTGGCTTTGGCAATTTTGCAGATGTTCATGCGCTTGACAGTTGAGAGGAGCATACTCGTAATATAGCTAAGAGACAATGCAAACACGTTACCTCTTGCATTCTTCCGTTAATGCGCAGCTGAACTGAGTGCCCGGGCGTATTCGCTTTTTACGCCCAATAAAATGGGGCTGATCAGGCTGAGCACCAAACCAACTGCCGACCACCTTAAAGCCATCGCAACCATTCTTCCGAGTAGTTCTCTCGATTTTCGTTAAAATAAAGCATAGACACCTCAACGATCGTTAACATTGCATGGCGGAGAGCTTCAACTGAAAATATCAGATATCGTAATACATTTATTAAAATAAAAGCCTTAGATTATTCATAAATCGCTAAAATTTATAGTTGGCGTAGGCAAAAACGTAATTGATGCGAAAAATCACCACCATTTGAAGACGCCCCCAAATAACGTCGTCTTGACATTACATATAGCTAAAGTAGGTTATGTAGTCACGCTGTCCCTATGGCGTTGCATCACATGTCGTCACATAACACATTATACATAACTTAGTCACTTGGTCAAAGGCAAACTTCAGCAGACGAGCATCTGGATTCCTGCCCTGCAACAAAATTGGAAAGAAAAGATCAAGAATCCTGTATATAAGGAGGGGTAGAATCAATCAATGAAGCCGGAGCTTTCTCAAGCATGTCCTGGGGATTGAGAACTGTCGTTATTTCGGTTAATGTCTGTTGCGACCTTGGGAGTCACTGTGGTTTGTGCCGTGGTTTTAACCGTGGCTCTGACTTCAGCTTTAGTGTGGCCGGGCCCATTTCAGTGATACTGGTCATGCTTCAGAGTCTATATGCTTTCCTGCGGTCTCGTCCTGAGAAATCAACTGGGACGTGTCTAGTGCAAAAGTCAGAAGAGGGGGGGGGGTCATCTGTGAATTGCACTATGGCGTCAGGAGATGATGATGATGATGATATATGGGTTTTTTTGGCGCAAGGGCCATTTGATGGCCAAAGAGCGCCACTTCATGGGGCAACGAATGTGGACAATGATTGGGATTAGCGGCTGTATAAGGGCCATAAAATTCCTCGCGGTAAGGCGGGTAAAAACATACAAGTAATAAAATCATGACCATGCCGTGAAATGTGTGTGGTGTGAATAGATGACAAAAGTTGGTGATAATGTAAAACGATGGTGGACATGTATGGCATTAGCACAAGTACCTCACTGGATCATGCCCTTGCGTCCAAGGGCCGTGAGGCAAGTGCTTTCCTGTGTAGCCACCGCAGCAAAAACCTCCCTGGAGAGGTCATGCTACGGGATGCCCGGGTATATGATATGAAAATTATGAAGTTCTTTTAAAAATGCTAACAATGATTATGACTAAAAAGCGGTTCCCTACCGACGAACATTGTAGGGTGTAAAGGTATATGTTGTCGGTAGGGTAATGTAAAATGTTGTTTTCTTAGAGTTTCTAAGTGTTTGCACTGGATTAGTATGTGAAGGACTGTTAATGTTTCACCACATTTGTCACACAATGGTGGATCGTCACCAGACAAAAGATAAGTGTGTGTCGCGTATGTGTGTCCTATCCTGAGTCTCGTTAGAATTATATCTGTATGACGCGATTTCTATACGGGCAGCCAATGAGCAAGGTGTGGCTTAACAACGTGTAGTTTGTTTTGTGTGTGTGTATCTCACTTGCTCTGCCAGTATACCCTGAGGTTTCGTTTGAGAGACGGCTTAAGATCAAGGGCCGGGATTGATATGGGTGTAGGGGCAGTGCTTTTGTGGACGGATGCAGCGAGTTGATCCGCCCTCACGTTGCCTTGAATCTCACGGTGCCCTGGCACCCAGCACACTACAACATGTTGTTTGAGTATGTAGAGTGTGCACAAAATGGAGTAAAGTGAGACAAGGACCGGGTTTTTTTGTTTTTTAAGACTGTGCAGAGCCGTTACCACACTGAGGGAGTCTGTGTAAATTACTGCTTTTGGTATTTGTAATTGTTTGATGTGTTTAGCCGCCACAAGTATCGCGTAAGCTTCTGCTGTGAAGATACTTGTGCCTGGATGTAGAGGGCCAGCATCCGAAAAGGATGGGCCGACAGCAGCATAGGACACAGAGGAGTTGGATTTGGAGGCATCTGTAAAGAACTCAGGACGTGTGTAATTATGTTCAATGTGCTCACTGCAGGGTCACGTTCATGGTTGATAGCCAGAAAAGTTTTTGTAAAAAACGTCTCACATTTTTATTTCATTTCGCACCACCGCTTGAGAAACCACAGAACCGATAGTTGGTTGAGTCGTTACAGGTTATTGGTACCGATTGCTGACAGAAAAATAATCGTACTGACAAAAGTATTTTAAATAGATGCCCCAGTTGTAGTGCCTATTGACGGGGAGGACCTGCAGCCAATTCTCTTAGCCTTAAGGCATAGATAGATATGTGGGTTTAATGTCCCAAACCACCATATGAGTATGAGAGACGCCAAAGTGGAGGGCTCTGGAAATTTCGACCATCTGGGGTTCTTTAACGTGAACCCAATTCTGAGCACACGAGCCTACAAGATTTTCGCTTCCATCGGGAATGCAGCCACCGCAGCAGAGATTCTATTTCGCTACCTGCGTATCAGTGGCCGAGTACTTTAGCCACTAGACGGCCGTGGCGGGGCGGCCTTAAATTATTACAAGAGCTATTAATATTCATTAGACCAGTGCAAGTAGACACTGGTTTGGTCGATGTTCGCGGCACTCTGGATCTTAGTGCATTTCATGTGGACCACATCCGCTAAAGCCGCCGTTTCAAACGGGAATACGAGGGTGTGTACACTTGTATTGGTGACAAAAAGAAAGTAGCGGCATGGGAAAAAACGCAGAAACACAGTAGAATGAACACATAGGTAGTAATGAGTGTTCTTGTTATTTTTTGCCTTTAACTGCAGAGCACACTCACTGTTTGGGGCCAGGCCAAAAATTGAATGATTTTTGTAGAGTTGCGTGGTACTAAAAAAGAATTGGACGTGTTACAGAACGAAAAGATCACAATTATAGTACAAAAAATTTTTCTTGTGCACGGGCATATATCCAAATACACACAAAATAGAGAGACAGGTTTATTTACAGAAAGGCAGAGAGGTTGGCCTGAGCGATACCTTGCTCTCCTGCTACTCTACACTGGGGGAGGAGAAGGGAGAGAAGAAAGACTAATAGATGATGACAGTAAGATAGAGAGGTGAGTATAGAATTTTTTAGAGTATATAGAATTTTATAGAAAAATTTTACAGCCGCGCATATAGTCCAGTTGTTTCCAAAAAGCTATAACCGTTCATATGACCACAGTTGCACTGTTGGTGTCTGGCTAAGGGCCTAACACGGTCTCATCAGTTATTGACCTACCGCGATATAGTTCAGTAGAAGAAATCAGTGTTTGTCGTTCACGTGCGTATGCTCGGCAGTCGCAAAATATGTGCTCAAGTGTTTCTGGCACATAACAGTCTTCACAATTAGGACCGGTGTCACTGCGACCGATATGTGCGTAACGTCTTGTGTATGCCACACCAAGATGAATGCGGTGGATCTTACTTGCGATGTGCCGTTTCAAGTTAGGGGGAATGCGGAACCTCATTTCCGGGTCCCATTTGGGAAGTCACCAGTGTCGCTGTTCCGGTTTGGTTCAGTGCTGAAGTGTATAGCTACGCATCACGCAGTGAAGCAGGGCGTTCGTGTCAGCTCGTGAAAACGCAAAGCTACTTTAGGGACACTGCTTAAGGCATTTTCAGCTTCAGCGTCTGCCTCTTCGTTCCCAATCACGCCGCAATGCGCGGGAATCCACCGGAAACTGATATGGTGAACATTTGTAGAAGCAACCCGAATAAGTTCTGGGATTTATATTACCAAGACGTAATAAGGACCTGCCTCATGATGCCATTAATGGTTTGCAAAGCGGGTTTGGCATCACAGAAAATCGCTGCTACACACAAACAAAAAAACAAAACGACGCTCGTCTTTACTTATTCTGCGACGCCAAAACCGCGTCCTTTGGTGCCGATCACGGAGGTAGTGCAAAACCAGGTACAGAAAGCTTTTAATGCCTCCAATCTCAGAAGGAGTGCAAAATATTAGTTGGGGAAAACTTTCATAGCCAGGGGGGTAAGGGGAGTAGACGACGATCAATGGAACGACTAATAAGAGAAAGAAAAAAGCGTTTACAGTCGAGTCACCTTATGTATATGTATGAGATAAGCTGTGAGATTTTTATGCAAGCGGTAACGTGAGAAAATTAGTTTTGGAGCCAAACTGCACTTTCCGTTTGTTTTCGCATCAAAATATTTTGCGCACTGTGGTTGACACAAATTAGGCGAACCCCCTGTAGTCGTCACTGGCACACTAAAACTGAAGCGAACACGTGGCTAGCAAACACCAACATCTGTTCAATGCGAATCCAAGAAAACCCACTGGTCACAAGTGGCCAATTGAAATGCGGGTGGTAAGTGCCAGTTGGGATCATGCACAAAATGCCTAGCCCATGCAGCAAATCGAAGAAGATGGCGCTTGTCTCGACATGAATCACAAACGGACAATACTACGTTTGTGATTGCTATAGCATACATGCTATTGAAATGAAAAACTTGAAGAAGGTTTTTTACCATAAAGTAACGATGCCAACAGCAACCTGGGCATTACCACACAAATTCTTTGTGGTATACGAGACCAACAGTACACAGAACTTAATTATATAACTGACGCACACGTGCCACAGTTAATGCATAGGCTCGAGTACACTTCCAGGAGATAGTTAAAGTACATAAGAGTATCCCATTACAATCAGAAATTAGGCACCGATATCAAAGCAAGCAATCTCTGGAGATTTCGACTTCGCATATTCTGTATGCTACTTAGAGGGAAACGCAGCTTATAATGAGTCGCCAATTTATTCTACACGTTGTTCTTACAGGTTCAGCTGCGATATACTCAGATGGAACGTCCTAAAATATTGTTCCAGCTTAACCAACTTGATGTGGTGGAGGTAAGTTAAACCTACCCATAAGTAGAAGTTTGTAAACAATATTTTTTTTTCGGTGAAACTGCTATGGATAACCATTTTATTAACTAAATTTTCGATGCTTCTGTACGAAAAAAAAGAACAATCCTGTGGGCATGCAATGCTAGAGATCAGTAAGTGTGTGCAGAGCCTTATGCTGCTCCAACATTTAAAGAACTTAGAGCCTTAACGCCACGTAGTGGGAGCTAAGCAAATTCGATTGATATATCGGGTTTAACGTCCCAAAACCACCACATGATAAAGAGACGCCGTAGTGGAGGGCTCCGAAAATTTCGACTACCTGGAGTTTTTAACGTGCACCCGAATCTCAGCACACGAGCCTACAACAATAGATAAAATTGATAAGAGGGGTGCCTCATAACTTCAAAATAATTGTTCTTCTTCTAAATCTAAGCACTGCTGGTAATAACGCGGTAAAAATGAAAAAAAAAGCATTTTTGGTTTCTCTGTAATTTAATTCGGTAAAACACGAAAAAAACATATGTTACACAAGTCGTTTATTGTTTACTGTACAGTATTACTTAGTCACACATCTCCATATCTGCGACTAACATCCATCAATATATAATAAACAAACCTTGAGGTCATAGTGAGTGCGGAATCACAAATATCGATGTGACAGAAAAAAATGCCGCCATATCCACGAAGTGAATGATGATGAGTGGGCGAAGCTCCGGAGGTAAACCTGGTAAACCATAAATCCTCCGTACATTTTGCCTACTCGATTTTATTGCAACGCTCCCCCTAGCGTACGTCGCCGCACTATATCGAACGATGACACGCGCCATATGTGGCATAACTCCTATTTTAACACCTCGCATCTTTCATAATCAACTACACGTACCGCCGTCTAGTTTATAACATCTTGCATCTTTTGGACGGACGGACGGACGGATGGACGGATGGACGGACGGACGGACAGACGGACGGACGGACGGATGGATGGATGGACGGACGGACGGATGGACGGATGGATGGATGGATGGATGGATGGACGGACGGACGGACGGATGGACGGACGGACGGATGGACGGATGGATGGATGGATGGATGGATGGATGGATGGATGGATGGACGGACGGATGGACGGATGGACGGATGGATATGGCTGTACCCTTTAGATCGGGCGGTGGCTAGTGTAATACTTAGAACTGAACGAGAGGTGGCTACATACAGGGGACGCACAGCCCACGCCTTGAGGAGCTTCGCTCCTAAAACGCGACTCGTTGGACGTTGAACTTAAGCTAGATCGCCTACTCATGGCATGTAGAAGTTATTGAACTACACGTCCCACCCCGGGGAAAACATAACGCCCGCTGTGACTTGTCTGTTGACTGGCCACGATTTTCGCGCGGCAAGCGTACGTAGAGAATACGGAGTTTCTGCGCCCAGACGTGGCGGACGCGTTGCTGTATGCGTTATGGAGCTATATGTAGGGGCGAAGCTCTTTATAGCGGCACCCGTTCGTCCCTCGTAGCCTTTGTAGTATGAGGTAAGTATAACATTTTGACCTCCATGAGATGCCGGTGAGAGATTTCTTTTGTGCGTTGTTGAACAATAAAAAATAGTGCTCATGTACATGTCAATGGCTGCTAATGGGGAATGAGAGACAGGAGCATTCGGCTTCTAGTTAACGCGCACGCTGCGATCCCCATTAGGAGCCATTGGCATGTACATTGAGCACTATCTTACAAAAAAGGGTTGCTACGTTATACTCCCTGGGTGTAACCTCCTTGATTTTAGAAAGGTTTAGCGAGCGTTGGGCCGCAGTGCCATGAATACAGTGCCCTAGTATATACAATGAACTCCAGGTGGTTATAGGTGGGAAGTAGACCCGAAGCGCAAGCCGTAAGAAAGTGTGCGTGTGCCACCTCTCGTTTAGTCCGTGGAAAGTCCGCTGGATGGCGGTGCTTCTATATGGGAATATAAGAGAAAGAAAAAACGTTCACAGTCGAGTCGTCTTATGTAAATGAATGAGATACGCTGTAAGATTTTTATACAAGCCTTAACGTTAGAAAATTAGTTTTGGAGCCAAACTGCGCTTGTCCGTTTGTTTGTGCACCCAAATATTTTGCGTATTGTGGGTAACACAAATTAGGCAAACCCAAGTAGTCGTCACCGGCACACTAAAACTGAAGCGAACACGTGGGTAGCAAACACCAATGTCTGTGCCATACAGATCCAAGAAACCCCACTCATCACAAGTGGCCAATTGAAATGCGGGTGGAAAGTGCCAGTTAGAATCATGTACAAAATGCGCAGACCATGCAGCAAATCGAAAAAAATTGCGCTTGCCATGACATGAATCACAAACGGACATATACTGTGTAATTGCGGATTCATGCGTGCTATTGAAATGAAAACTTGAAGGAGCGCACTCTAAACTCAAGAGGAATTTTCCGGAGAGCCATTTTGAATTTGGTCGCAGGGATTGTGATCACCTCTGCTTATAAATTATAATGACTCTGAGCTCTCCGTCATGTGCTAGCTTGGCTGATCAACTTTTCAAAATTCCCGCGTACCATAAAAATAGACGTTTAGGGAAGCACGACAGTGGAAAGTGACTGCTGAGTAATTTTTTTATTCATCGGAAAGTTACGAAACCACGTGATGTTAGGCACAAATGTTGCACACACAGAAAAATTTTGAACATTCACACATGCTTTATATAACCAGTTTTTTTACCATAAGGTAATGATGCCAACAGCAATCTGGAAATTACCAATCTGGGAATTTTTTGTGGTATACGTAGATCAATAGTGCACAGCGCTCAATTATACTACTGACGCACCTGTGCCATAGTTATGCATAAGTTCAAGTACACTTCAAGGAGACAGTTCAAATACATAAGAGTATCCCATCGCATTCAGAAACTAGGCACCAATATGAAAAGCAAGCAATGTCTGGGGCTTTCGACTTCACATATTCTGTATGCTAATTAGAGGAAAACGCAGCTTATAAGGAGCCGCCAATTTATTCTACACGTTGTGTTTACAGGTTCAGCTGCGATATACTCAGATGGAACATCCTAAAATATTGTTTCAACTTAACGGACTTGAAGTGGTGGAGGTAAGTTACACCTACCTAGAAGTAGAAGATTGTAAAAAAATGATTTTTGCGGTGAGACTGCCATGAATAACCATTTCATTATCTAAGTCTTCGATGCTTCTATACGAACAAAGAATAATACTGTGGGCATGCATTGTTAGAGATCAGTAAGTGAGTGCAAAGTCTTATGGTGCTCCGACATTTAGAGAACTTAAAGCCTTAAGGCCACGTAGGGGTGCTTAACAAATGGGAAACCAAGAATAGTAAGAGGAGGAAAAAGTAGGAAGGTCCAGAAATAGATAAAATTGGCGACAAGGTTGCCTCGTTTTTTCAAATCATCCTTTTTCATTCTACTTGTCTAAGCACTGCTGGTAATAACAATGTAAAAATAAAAAGAAAGCATGTCTGGTCTCTCTGTAATTAAATGCGGTAAAACACGAAAAAAAACACATACACAAGCACTTTATTGTAGACTGTACGTTATTACTTAGCCACACATATCCAACTCGACGAAACATCCATTAATATAAATAAACAACCCTTGAGGTCATAGTGAGTGCGGAACCACTAAGAGCAATGTGATAGAAGAACGCGACTCATTGGACGCTGAACTTAAGCTAAGGTCACCTACTGACGGCATATAGAAGTTATTGTACGCCACGTCCCGACCTGGGGAAAACCTAATGCCCGTTGGGACGTGCCTGTTAACCAGACGCAATTTTTTGCGGGGCAAGCGTGACTGGTGAACACGGAATTCCTCTCTGTGCTACGGAGCTACTTTTTGGTATTCATTATTGCATTGAGTGACACCGACGCTTGAAGTAAGACCGGCTCTTGCGAGTTTGTTTGACATTGGCAGAACTGCACACACTTCTATAAAAAAATTAACAGATCCCAGGTACAGTGGGAAGTAAAGATATGCGAAGAATGAATGAGAAATGTTGATATGTCACTTTTAATCGCCTCACTGCAGTGGTCTAGTGGATAAGGTACTCGGCTGCCGCCCCACAGGTCACGGGTTCGGATCCCGGCTGCGGCGGTTGCATTTCCAATGAAGGCGGAAATGTTGTAGGCCCGTGTTCTCAGATTTGGGTGCACGTTAAAAAACCCCAGGTGGTCGAAATTTCCGGAGTCCTCCACTACGGCGTCTTTCATTAATCTTATGGTTGTTTTGGGACGTTAAGCCCCACATGTCAATCAATCATGTCACTTTAATTCAGCACAACATTACGAGGTGAAGGTAAATGATGCCGTATATGACTTTCGTGTCATGATTACAATTTTTGGATGCGTCATTTACCTTCGTCATCTACTCACATGACGTGATACCAAATTTAGTATGTGGGGCTAGTGAAATGGCCGTGAGCACGCCATGAGTGTAGTATGTTGTCATGCTCTTATATGACTCGCGCATCAAGATTATCATGTTTGCACCGATCACATATTACGTCAGCCATTGACGCCACGTAACACAGATTTGGTGTGTGGAGCTAGCAAAACGGTCACGAGCGCATCATGAAGGGCCCCATAGGCTACAATGTAGCGTTTAAGTGCGCACACGCTAGTCACAGCGACGCTACGTTAGCAAAACGTGAGCATTGTTATAGTCTGACGCCAGGCGCGACCAGCGACCGTCGACGCGGCCCGACGGCAACCGGCTCAAAATGCAACATGAAGCATTTCGCACCGATGTTACAGAGTAACATGCGTTACCCGGACAAAATTGCGTCTCCCTCTGTTCGTGACGGAGGGACGCTGGGCGCGCTGAAACGCGCATGCGTGAAAGAAACGCAGCGTGACGCGTGCCTTCGAGTAAATGGTAGGACCGGCGCCTGGCGTGGTAACGCCGGCGTGACGCAATGAAATGAACGCCGGTGAGCACGCGAACTGCGTCATGTCGAAATGTATTGG